CTTCCATCAAGCAGGGCACAGTCGAGGCGGGGTGGGCCTGTGACAAACTGGGCCTGTGGCAAACTGCTGCGACAAACTGAGCCTGAGACAAACTGTGACAAACTGAGCCTGTGACAAACTGTGACAAACTGAGCCTGTGACAAACTGTGACAAACTGGGCCTGTGACAAACTGTGACAAACTGAGCCTGTGACAAACTGTGACAAACTGGGCCTGTGACAAACTGTGACAAACTATGGGCCTGTGACAAACTGTGACAAACTATGGGCCTGTGACAAACTGTGACAAACTATGGGCCTGTGACAAACTGACACGCTTCCCTGAGTAGCCCCTCCTCCTGATAGATCGAGAGGTATGTAGACTGTAGAGTAGATGATCCCATTTTCCTAAGACAACAACGCAGGTGGGAAATCCCCTAGCAAGAACTGAATGTCCCTGAGCCTATTAATAAAATCATTTTTATCAGGAGTTGGGAGTCGGCAACAGGAATATACGATGTTCCCTTCACGTCTCCAGCAGTTGGTTAGTGCACTCCGGGCTGGTCGCACCTTCTCCGTGCCACCGTCAGTGTGTTTGCGCCTGTCGTCGCTCGCTTATTCAGATCAGCCAATCCGAATCCAGGACCAGGCCTGTTGGGATTACGTCACTAAAAGGGGATTCCCCGTACTGGATTGCGGAAAAACTGTTTGTTCTATAAATAGATTCTGCTGCTGAACTCGGAAGGCTGCACACGTATCAAAGGTAGGCGTCCACGTCTTTCTCGAATAACTTAGGCATTTGTTAGATCTGCAAGCGCATTTGCACTTGTTGTTGCTTCATTTCAATCAATTTTTACGCCATTCTTCGGTTGCTTTCGTTCTGTATTATTCCGATCAACTGAGCTCGGAGACTATTATTAGCAACACAACCCAGCCTGTGCGCTAGGCCTAGCCCATGGCTGGCTCGTGTTGCCCTTCCTCTCCGTCGCCGAGCGCGCTGACATATTTGTGGTTTTGGCTTCGTGAACAGTTAACAGTTAACCCTTTCCGCATGTCTGTCAGCGTCGTTCTATCTTCTGACTTCACTAATATGGAATTCTTCTGTTCTGCGTATCACATCTTCTAGACTAGATTTGTGCTTTTGGCTTATTTGTACATGTATGCTCTTACGTACTTTATCAACAGCAGTTGTTGTCTAATTTTGTTTGAAGTTCAGATGTCTTTGCCTTGGCAAGGGGCGTTCATGGGCTGGATTCTAGCCTAGTTTGTCTCTGTAGTCTGTAGTGTTGTGTGCCACTGCGGTCGCTGGCACGATATAGCCTACACTTGTGTCTAGCAGATTTAGGTTATGTAGTGCCACTACAGTAATACTATTACTCTAGTGAGAAAGCCTAGCTGTAAGCCCTCTCTGGCAAAAGGCTACGAGATCTTCACGGCTGTCGATGCGACCGTGTGCGTGCATGTTGAATGTCTGCCTACAGCACGGCTAGAGAATGCGTACGTAGGCAAGGTCTACGCTGCCCCTTTACGTTTTCCGTGTCTGACGACTTAAGCCGATGTTAGTGTTACTGTTGGGTTTAGGCTCTGCCCTAACCGCGTAACTTGGAGAAGCAGTCACACACACATACACACACACGCGCGCGCGCGCGCGCACACACACACACATACACACACACACACTCACACACACACA